GGATAGTCGTGTATTAGTGTTTAGATTGTTATAAATTTTCGCACTTCTTTACCTTGTTTTGGTTTAAATTATTGTTATTTACTGTTTTGGATAACGGTTAGTGTATTAGATCTTTATCTTTTGGCTTGCCTAGCACTCTAAAAGTTAGGCGATATCACAATCCCAACTGTGGAAAAACCGGGTCATGACAGAGTCCAATTCAATTAGTTTTCAAATTCATCATATGAGTAAAATTCATATTCAAGTAAAACAAAAATCTTAGGGTACATAAATTTATTACATAAAAAGAACGTTAGAACACAAAGTAAAATTATTAGTATATTATTAAGAATCAAAATACTATACAAGTGTCTAAGGAAGCACAATCAAAGCTAAATCCTAAACAAGAACAAGCTTTGAAGACTATATTATGAAGAGTCGACTCTGCTATAACGGGATTATTCTTTGTAGATGCCTCCGGCAAAACCGAAATAATATTTCTATGTCATGCATTACTTTCAAATATCATATCAAGAGACATGACAATATTAGTAATAATATCAAGTGGTGTACCAACAACGATTTTATTGTGAGGCCTCCCAATTTAGACTTGATATACCTCTTCAGACAACTTAAATAACCATTACAAATATATCAAAGTAGAGCAATGGTGCTAAATTTATAAGGAACGCAATATTAATAATATGGGATGAAGTACTTATGAACAAAATATTGATAATATGGGATGAAGTACTTATGGCTAAGTGTCAAACGACCGAAAAAATTTTCCGGAGTTCTAGAAATATATTGGATATTAATGAATTGTTTGGTGGAAAATTAATGGTTTGGGATGTATTTTATGTCAAGTACTACCAGTAGTTCCAAAATCGACAAAAGCAAAGACTGTAAAAGCTAGCTTGCCAAAATTATACTTCTGGCCTCAAATGAAAAAGATTCAACTGACAAGAAATATAAAGTAAGAACTGATCCAGTATTCAATATCTTGCTTCGTGTAAAAAACGAAGAAGATCATCCAATAAAAGATGATTTGGTTCTTCCTGAACACTTGGTTATCAATCCCAATGGTAATAGTAGGGCATTTAATAAGAGAAATGTTTCTATGTTATATTTGTGTGAAAATAATTTTTACTATATTTATGTTTTGCAAATATAATAAATAATGCACAAGGACAAACATCCTAAATATTGGACTATATTTATCACAATATATTTTCTTGCGCGAACAATTGTATGTTGCACTTCAAGAGGGATATCAAGATCGACAACAAGAGTTAGGAGGAAACTTAACAAATAAATATTGTCAACAAAGAAGTGTTCGTTAAGATATCATCACATTAAATACTTTTAAACTGTAATACATAATTATCTTACTAACATGACAAAATTGATCATTCGTATAAGTTTTGATGATGTCCTTTTATTTTAAATTCATGTAAAATCCTTTATCTCCCTCCTTTTCTTCTCTTTTCCTTCTTGCTTTCCAAGCTGAGGGACTATTGAAAACAACCTCTCTACCTTCATTAAGTAGGGGTAAAGTCTTCGTACAGACTACCCTCCCCAGACCCCACCTGTTGAAAATATACTGGGTATGTTGTTGTCGTATTATGCTAATTGTCACAATCCAAATCTACCACGTCGTGATGGCGCCTAACGTAGAACTACGCAAGCCTACTCTTTTACCAAAACAACCCGACAATCCAAAATGAAGATGTATTTAAGCTATTAATTAATAATACTTCATAATATAAGTCTGAATAACAAAGTGCGGAAAGAAAAAAAAAAGACCAACATCGCGGTGTCACAAGTCATGAACATCTACTTAAAAAAACTGTCCGAAATGCTAAGATTAATACAGTCTGAAAATAAACTAATAATATCTATAGGAAGATAGGAGGGAGAAGAGCAAGGCTAAGATCGCTATGCAACTACCTTGCCAACTCCAAAATATCTGCGACGGACGAAAATCAACGCTCGCTAGCACGTCCAGCAACCTTTGGATTTGCACACAAGGTGCAGGGAGTAATGTGAGTACGCCAACTCAGTAAGTAATAAAGGTAAATAAAGATTGAGTAGTAGGAAACACATAAAATCCACATCATGAAATCTCAGTAAGTACAACATGCTTCCAAATTAGTGTATGAGTCAAATAATCTCGTTTAATATCCATTTTTCGGTAAAAATCATTTGAAGATGTTTTTCACTAGTTTCAACAGAGGCACAATGCAATTTGGAGTAAAAATGATGAAAATCATAAACAGCCCATCGGGCAAACAGCGTTCGTATACAGCCCCTCTGATAACATGAATCATAAACGGCCCTTAGGGCATAACATTACTCAGAAACAGCCCCTTGGGTAACCTCACAGTCACTCGTAAACAGCCCCTCAGGTACAACATGAATCAAGAATAGCCCCTCGGGAAAAACATCATATCACTCACTCAAGGTACTCGCACTCACTGGGGGTGTGCAGACTCCGGAGGGGCTCCTACAGCTCAAGCGCTATAACAAGTCACCTCGTGACATAAATCAATCAGGCCCTCGGCTCTCTTATAATCATAAATAAGTAACAACATGCTGCGGCGCGCAGCCCGATCCCATAATATCCTCACAAAAATAGGCCCTCGGCCTCACTCAATCACAACCTCTCAAGCCACGAAGTGGCTATCGGTAAAAACAGGGTGCTCAGCCCAACATATCATTTTATGCATAAAAAACGGAGTAATAAAAACTAAGTTATGAAATCAGTAAATGCAGCATGACTGAGTATGGATCTTAAATCAAAACAGTGAGAGGATAACAAGAAAAGGCCCCTAAGGGTCCAAACAGCTTTGGCACGAGGCCCAAATATGGCATTCAACTCAATTTAAAGGAATTCTTTCTAAAACGCATAAGTATCATATAGTTTTTCAGTCAAATACGCAACTTAATAGTTGTTAGGGGACGGTTCAAGTCACAATCTCCAATGGTGCACGCCCACACGCGCGTCACCTAGCATGTATGTCACCTCCAAATAGTGAAATGATGTGAAACCGGGGTTTTATGCCCTCGGGACAAGATTTACAATCATTACTTACCTCAAACCGATCAAAACTCTACTCTGCGATGCCCTTGCCCCTAGAATCGGCCTCCAAATGCTCCGAATCTAGCCATAAAAATTCGGCACAATCAACACAAGCTAAAGGGATCAATCCCATAAGAAAATGCTAAGCTTAAGGTCAAAAGTCAAAAAGACAACTCAAAAGACGGGCCCTTGGCCCCCATCTTGAAATCCGACCAAAGTTACAAAATCCAACAACCCATTCAAATACGAGACTAACCGTACTAGTTTCACTCAATTCTGATTTCGAATCGGCTTCTAAATCCCAAAAGTTCATTTTATGAAACTTCACAATTTTTTCCCAAATATCATCCTAAATCACTAATCAAAAGAAGAAATTAATGATATATTCAAGGTTATTAACCAAAACCGAGTTAAAATTACTTACCTCAATGATTTCCTTGAAAAACTCTCGAAAATCCGCCTCAAACCGAGCTCCTAAAGTCCAAGATGTGAAAGAAAACCCTAAACCTCGCTTATATAGTGCTCTCTAAACTCCCATTCCGCGGTCCGCATATTCCTCATAGCGGCCACACAATTACTATTTTGGTCCGCGTAATTTCCATCGCGGCCGCGAACCCTAAGCCTCACCTTCCGCGGTCCGAGTAAAATCCTCCGCGTCCACAAACCTGGCCCCTTTCCTCTCCACGCAAACTTCCCTACCGCGTCCGCATCCTTCTACTACGGTCCACGCAATCCACATCGCGGCTGCACTCCCCAATGATCCGAGACCTGCAACTTTCCAACACAAGATATCAAGTATTTCTAACTTCCAAGGCCAAATAGATCTGATAACCACCCGAAACTAACCCGAGGCCCTCGGGACCTCGACCAAACATACCAACACACCCCATAACATCATCCAAACTAAGCCGAACCTTCGAATTACTCTAAACAACATCGAATCACCAAATCACCTTCGGATTCCAGCCTAAGAACTTCTAAACTTTCAATTCCACAAACGATGTCGGAACCTACCAAATCACCTCCGAATGACCTGAAATTTTGCACACACATCACAAATGACACTACAAACCTATTCCAACTTCCAAAATTTATTCCGACCTCGATATAAAAAATTTCACTGGCGACCGAGAAACGCCAAATTTTCAATTTCACCAATTCAAGCCTAGTTCTACCACGGACCTCCAAATCACATTCAGACACCCTCTTAATTCCAAAATTAATTAACAGAGCTAACGGAACCATCAAAAATCTCATCCGAGATCGTTTACTCATAAATCAACATCTGGTTGTCTTTTTTAACTTAAGCTTCCAAATAGGAGGCTAAGTGCCTCATTCCACTCCAAAAAATCACTCCAGACCCGAATCAACCAACATGATACGATAAAATATAGCTGAAGAACACAGAAAAAAGCAGATATGGGGGAAACAGGGCTATGACTCATTTAACGACCGGCCGGGTTGTTACACTAACGTAATAATATTTTTCGGCATTTAGATGATTGTTGTATTATTATAAATAAAATTTCTCTCATTAATTTAATTTTGTTGTTCCTTCATATAAGTAAATGTTTAAAGCATTACGTACCATTATTGACGTGCAACACACTTCATAGATACTAGTAATTATATTGCATAGGAGAATAACACACGGCTTTCTACCACGCTTTTCGAATAAAGAAATAGATAAATATTGGGACATCATGGTATTAGAAGGTCTCAGATAGGGATGGCAATGGGGCGGTGTGGGTGAGGGACGACGCAGGTTTGAACGTTGGCGGGGGGTGCGGGTTTGAGAATTTGCGGTTGCGGGGCGGGGCGGGGCAGGTTCAATTTTTAAATTAAAAAAATAATGTGGGGTGGGGCGGGTCGCGGGTGGGGATTTAATATTTTAAACAAATAAACATAAAGGCTAAATATTAAAATCCTAGATCAAATTTCTCTCTCTGTCTCTTACGGCTCATCAGTCATCTCTCTCTGACTCTCCTTGGTCCTCGACTCCCCTCTCAGTCTTGCTCGATAATCCGAGAAATTTACAGTAGCTTTCAATTTTGAAGGTCATTATTCTGTGGTTTATCAAGGATTGTGAGTCCCTTTTCCTCTCTGAATTCTACTTATCACTATAGCTCTATTTTTTGGTTCTAGTAATCTTGAACTAAGTTTTTGGGCTTTATCTTTGTCGTGGAATTCCTATTTAATTTTGGTTTAAAGCTTTGTATTTTTTATTTTTCTATGAGAAATTTTATCAAACACATTATGGGGATCAGTGATAAAGACCTATATTTTCTGTTCTCTAAGGCTGTGTAGAGAAGGCCAAAGGTAAATATGATTCCAAGAAGACCATTTGTGTAAAACCAATGGAATTTCTATTTCATTTTTAATCCCAAAGTTCAATTGGTGTCAAGTCAGAATTTGAATATGATTTCCTTACACCCATGTGTTGCGCTAATTTTAGGTGTTCATAAGGAAAATCAGAAAAAGGAAGTTGGAGTTTAGCTATCAGCATTAGTTTTCTTTTTCCACACAATCCACAAGAAGTACGGAAACTTGGTAAAGCCAATCAGTATTCCTTACAAAGAAAAGGTTTTCTTTTGTATATGATTTTTTTCATTGATGAGTGGCACCAGTTTTGCAATACATGCCTCAGTAAATAGTTGCATAGTTCTGTTTTATTTCATTCACTAATACTGCTAGTCAAACTGCAAGCTCTGTTGCAGATTCATATATGTTTATGTCATAAACTGCTTTGGGATGCATATATAGTTTTTGTCATAAACTGCTTAATAGACTCTTTTTTCATTTTCCATGTGCACTTAGAAATGTCTCATAATATTAATTTAGCTTATTTTTTGTAGAAAAGTATGGAGTCTCAAAATGAAGAGAATCTGGTTGGTTCATCTTCTAGTACTTTTCCTATAGAGAGTGAGAGTCAATTGCATATGCAAGTCGATGAAGTTGTTGATGAAACTGGGAAAAGAAAACTTATTTCTGACGCATGGAGTTGAGTCATCCCAAGCATCTAGTTCTAGTGAAGTTGTTGGTCATGTTGAGGGTGACCGACTGTCTAGTTTTGGTAGGTTTTTCGCGTCGAGTAGCTCGAACGTGGACACAAGATCAGAATTGGATTCTTATTTAGAAGAAAATGTGCTACCCCGCACACCATCATTTGACACTTTAAGCTGGTGGAAGACAAACGGATTAAAGTTTCCTACTTTACAAAAAATGGCTCGTGACCTCTTAGCCATTCCTGTCTTTACCGTTGCTTCAGAATCTGCATTTAGTACTAGTGGGAGATTGATTAGTCTGCATCGTAGTAGACTTCATCCTACTACTTTGGAGGCTTTAATGTGTGCTCGCACTTGGTTATGGAAAGAAATAAATGGTAAGTGATTTTTTCAATGACTTGTAATGTTAATAGTGATTTTTTAATTTTTAATACTATATATGTTTCTTTTTAGGTTTGGCTTCAACGGTCGACAAAGTTTCATGTCCAACATTACTTGACGAAGAGGAAGAGTCGGATTCAAGTTATCGATAGAAGAGGAGGAGAATGTTTGATAGATTTTGTTTAGTATAGACCAATAGACCTTGCTAACAGCTTTGTAGTTTGTTAAAGCTACTGCTCCTATGCCTTTTGAGATGTGTTTTTGCTTCAACATTATGGTTTATGGTCCAACGTTGTTGGTTCTGGCATTGAGTTCTGATTCAGTATTCATTGCTTCAGCATCTCCTTCATTCTGCAGTAGAATTTCTGCTCCTTGCTTTTATTGCAATGTTTGATGCTTGATTGAATACAGAAATTGAAACTCCCACAACAGCCTGCTCAATGGGATCTGTGTCGATAAATGTAGAGTTTATTTTGATGTTTCTAAACCTGTTTTGCTTAATGTTCAGCCTAGTTGTTGCTTTGCTTTTTCCTGGTTTTATTGTAGTGGAGATGCCTTGATGTCATTTCTGTTAAGTATAAGGGGGAATGGCCTACTAAAAGACAGACCAACTAATGGCTTTTATGGTATCATGAGTTGGAGCTTGGTGTGTTTTAGTTTCTTTATTGAAAGTTTTGTATTTAGTAAAACTGAATCAGTATTATAACTTCGTCCATGTGGGATGACCGCTATTGCATTATAGGTTGAAGGAAATAAAAATAAAATCTTGTGACAGATTTATAGGTTGAAGGAAATAAAAATGAAATCTTGTGACAGGACATGAATAACATTCTGCAAAGTTGTCATCACCTATATTAATCATTGTCAACTTTTTCCTTTTCCCTCTGCATTTTCTACCTTCTATCATAATCACTAGATTTAGAGGCAAAATATAGGAATTTAAGAACATTTTGGATGTAATTAACTGTTTTATTAAAAAAATCATATTTAAGTCTAGCTTTCTAAAAAAGAAAGAATTTTTATAAATAAAAAAAATTGTGGGTGCATGCGGGTTTAAATTCTATGCGGGGTGGGGCGGGGCGGATTTAAATTTTGCGGATTCAGACAGAACCTGCCCCGCACCCACACTGTCCCGCACCGCCTGCCATTCCTAGTCTCACATGAAACAAGAGAGGGAAAGAAATAACCAAAGAGAGAGAGAGAAAGAAAAATTGAAAAGAAAGAAGGAGGTGTAATCTGTGGAGAAAGTGTTACGTAACCGGTAATACTATAAACGAAGTAATTAAGTAGCAACTAACTACTATTTATAATTTAAAACACAAACTCAAACTCATGCTGACAGGGATATCAACTTGTGATTACCTAAAAACACGTAAACGTCGATTAGCAAAAGGTTTAAGTATTTAAATTCGTACAGATTTTACGATTTGGAGTGCTTTCAGACGATGAATACGACAAAATACTTTAAACAAATTACTAGTGGGGTATGAATTTTGAAATTCAATATGATACGAAAGAGGAGAAAAAGCACATACGGAAGCTAGCGTTGTGATGGAGCTTCATATTATTTGAAAAAGATGAGGGAAAATTGAACTAAGCTAAGAACCAAAGTCGTGTAACGTGTTTTACGTCAATGCCAATAAGCTAGTTAGGGATGAATAAAAATAGAGAAAGTGTTAGTGTTTTGCGCTAGAACTACTACTATTTCTTTGTGTTGATAAAAAGAGTTCAACACAAAAGTATATTTTAATTTTTTGTTTAACTAAAAGTACAATGAATTCGAAGCTCCTACATTTAAAAGTTCTTCATTTAATTAGAACAAATATGAATTCCGATATGAGATATCTTATAGAAACGAGTCCAAAATTTAAATTTATAATATATGAACAAAAATTATTAATTTTACGTGAACTCACAGCTTGCGAGCCGTCTCTGGCCTCTTGTTAAAGTGATCAAGCTACATTTTTATCCTCTTGTTTATACGGCAGAGATAGGGGATGTGGGGCTGCAGGGCAAATCTGTCGTGAGCAACTGTTGGCGGCGCATGCACTACAACTTTGACACATTTGCTGCAATGGCAATTTCTTGGAGTTTTTGGCCAAATTTGATTCAGCCACATACATTGTCTTGGAAACATCCTTGCAGTTTCCTTTACTTTGTCTTGTTCACAATTTAAGCTAAGATAAACTACTATAGGTTAAAATAGATGGGGTTGAATGATTGAGAGTAGAAATGGAGGGCTATATATATATATATATATATATATGGTCATTTTTCTGGGTTATTTAGTATGTATAAGCGAAGATATGGATACATTGGCATGTTTATTTTAAAGGATTGGTGGAGAGGCCTTGATTTATTTATTTTTAACATAACACACGGATATTATATATATAACTAAGTAAAATTACATAGTCATGGCAGAAAGTTTGAGGGCACTAACGTTTACCCATGGATGCCAAATAGTTACACACATTGCTAGATAAAGTTCTAATGTCATTACAAACTCCATGTTTATCCTTTGTAATTTCTTGCTCAACAAAAAAAGGTGGACGTGCATGGTAATAACATTTAGACGTTGAAACATTTTTGGTGGATTGCTTGGCTAGTGTATGGGCCACCATATTTCCTTCTCTAAAATTATGCTTCAGCGTTTGGATCTTCAGCTGGTGCGTTAGCCATCTGCATTCACAAACAACATTAGAATAGTTAGAGTTATTTTCGTAAATGAGCTTAATAACCTCAGTGGAATCAGTTTCAATTTCTATCCTTGTGAAGTTCATGTCTCTTGCTATTTTTAACCCTTCTAGTATTGCTTGTAGCTCTGCATGGATGGGAGAAATGCTTTGCATGTTTTATGGAAGCCTACAATCCAGTCACCTTTGTTGTTTCGAAAGACTCCTCCAAATCCTGCCCTACTACTCTTGTTATCAAAAGCACCATCACAGTTTAATTTAATAAAGCCTTTGTCAAGCTTTATCCAACTAATTTCTATTTTGATTGTTCTTTCCACAAAAAGATTTCTTTCAGTGAAGAAAATAAATTCCCAAGATGCATGTATGACCTTTCTTATGTCCAGGTTGTTATTTAAGTTGTTGATGTTATTATTGTTCCTGTTTTTCCATAGTTCCCATATACAATAGGAAAATATAGTAGTCCACTTTTCGGAATAATTGCAATTCTTAATGAAGAAATCTCTTAAGTTTGCTAGCTAGTTTTTATTATTCTCAATATCTAGAGGTGGTAAGCCCATTTTATCCCAAAAGTGCATTGAGATAGAACAGCTAGTAAAGATGTGTTGTATGTCTTAAACTCCTGCTCTACAGATTGTACAGTTGGGATCAATATTGATACCTATTTTAGCTAAGTAGGCCCGACAAGGAATACGGTTGTGCATGCATTGCCATAAAAAGAATTTAATTTTAATCGGGCAATGGAGCTCCCAAATCCATTTAAAGGGTCTTGTGGTAGGGTCATATTCATGGATTAGTTTATAGCAAGACTTAGTCGAAAAGTTACCTGAAGAATTAGGATGCCAACTTATTTTGTCAGTTGTTGAACCTTTGCCAGGAGTAGGAGTGGAGAGGATGTTGTTGAGGATATTGTCAGGTAGTACAAAAGAGATGACCTTGCTATTCTATTCATTCCTCTGAATGAGGTTTTTTAAACAAAGGTCCTGATCATTTACGTTGAGGGGACCTTCAATTAAGCTTCTAAGTGGTATATAATTGTAAATCCAAATGTTGTTCCAAATGTTAATATTGGAGTTAGTATAAGGGTATAAGGGTGCCATAGAATCCCCTTATTGCAAACTTTCCAACCTTGCAAAAATAGATTTCCAGACGAAGGAGGAGTGATGTATGGTATTCCTAGTGCCATATTTGGATAGTAAAATTTGGCCCCAGGGAGATGAAGTATTATTAAGGAGTCCCCAACAAGATTAGAAAAAAGGGCTAGATTTTTTGACTTTGCTTGATGAATCCCTAATCCTCCCTCAGTTCTATCCCTAGTAACAACTTGCTAATTGATTAGGTGTACTTTTTTGTTGGAAATAGAGGAACCCCAGATAAAGTCCCTTTGGACCTTGTCGATCTTTTTAGGATTTTAGGAGATAGAAGAGTGTATTGCATGGAGTGAGTAGGGATAACACTCAAAGTGCTTGAGGCCATAGTGGTTCTTCCTGCCATGTTCAAGAAGGAACACTTCCAGTGTGACAATTTGGATTGCATTTTGTCAATTAAAAACTGAAAGTCTTTAGCTCTAGGATAGTGGCTAAGAATTGGAAAGCCTAGGTAATTGCCAAATTCCTTAGTTGATTTAATACAAAAGAGGTCCGTTAAAAAAGATTTAATTCAAGGGGACAGTGGTTAGGCAACACAATTTGGACTTTGTTTTGTTAATGGCATGTCCAGATTCAGTGCAAAAAAAAAATCAAGATAGGATTTGATACAAAAACTCGTTTTTTTGTTAGTCTTTCCCATTAGAGTAATATCATCCGCAAATAAGATATGAGAGAAGTTAGGATTTTTATGTTTAAAATAGATGGGGTCCCATTGCAATGTATCTACTTGATAATTTATTAGTCGAGATAATAACTCAAGGCAAAGAATGAAAATATAGGGGGAAAGGGGGTCACCTTGACGAATTCCTCGACTTGGTTGGAAGAAGCTAGTTCTCACACCATTTACTATGATACTCATGGAGCTTATACAAATGCAATGCATTATTAGACGGGATAGTTTAGGGGAAAAATTAAAAAACCTGAGAGTTTTATAAACAAAGGACCATTCCAACCGATCAAAAGCTTTTTCTAAGTCTAATTTAATGATCATGTCAAAATTAGACTTCTTGTTTTTGTGTAAATTGTTCATAATCTCTTGGTTTATTGTAGCATTGTCACACGCTCTCCTATTTTTAATGAAGCTAGCTTGCATTGAGCTTATTGAATAAGGGAAGTAAGGTTTTATCCTATTAGCAATAGTTTTAGTGATGATTTTATAAGAGGTGTTGCAAAAGCCGATTGGCCGAAAATTTTTTATGTTATTTACGTTGGGAAATTTAGTTATTAGACAAACAAAAGTATCATTGAATCCATTAGGAAGTGATTGAGATTCAAAAACTTTGTGACAGTAGTTAATAATGGAGGGGCCAATAGTATGCCAATATATTTTGATAGAAAAATGGATGAATGCCATCCGGACCCAGGGCCTTAAAAGGTTTGAAGGAGAATAGGGCATTGGTAATTTCAGAATTATTAAGAAGGTTGTCGAGGCTGCTTAAATCAATTGTTTTAGTGAAGGAGGTCTCATCAAGGTTAATGTTATTAGGGGAGGATATTTTTGAGGTCCTAAAAGTAATTTTGAAGAAGCTTAGCGCATGGTCTAGAATTAAATTGGGATCCAAAATCTTTTGACCATTATCGTCAG